AAATGCACTGCCGCTTGCGCTCGCGGTGACGGAATTCGGTACTACAGCACAACGTGAGTCAAACTTGATTTGTTTTGCTACAAAATGACACCTCAACCGATTCTGTAAGCTTTCTGATTAAATTTCTATACACTTTCAAAGTTGTAAAGTCCTTTTTGAATCAGGGTGTATAATGTTGACAGAGCCAATGAACAACCTAGATACCAAGCTGCATTGTCATGCATAATACTGTTGACACAAAATCAAAAATCGAGACACTCCACTGCGTAATCACACATTATTTTATAGACATAGTAAACAGCGGAACTGTTGACAGAGCTAATAACAGTATGTCCTAAGAAACAAAGAAAATATTATATCTTCTTAAGCTGGAAGCAAGTGTAAGAACGCAAACATATTACTCATTTTAGAAAACATTTTTTGTTATTAACCATATATTTAATTAATACTTCGTTCATTTCCGTGGTTTCATCTTCTACAAACCACCACCTCGTACTTGTTTTCTTTCTTCAGTATTTATCTTCATTTGTTTTTATTTTCTTCTTGTTCTCATTCCTTTAGTTCTATCACTCATTCCTCATCTTTCTTCTATTTAAAAATGTCCTTCTGCATTCTCTTTTGTCTGTAAATTCCTTCTTTCCATTATTTTAACTTTTTCTTTCTCCAGGCGAAGGATGGGATAGTACTATAAATCGGTCAATGTCACATCCTCTCTGTCCTATGCGATTCACAATTTATGTTATGGTCAAGGAACGTGGACACCAAGAACTAGACTCTGCCACGCTTCAATCTCTGCTGCAATCAGCACGCCTCAACCCTTCTCATTTGGAGGACGATTTTGCAGCACGTGGTCTGTAATTTCCTATCCAGTGGATACTGGGGGCTCTTTACACTAGGGTTAAACAGAGACAGCGTGAAGCTGACCACTCACAACCATTCAGTGCCAACGTCTACATTGCTTTCACGTGGCACACCCTGCTTTCACAAATGAGGCTGAGAATGGTGTGGAAAAAATGCCTCTACCTAATTCACGATGCCCAAATCATTGTGATGTTACTTGCTATACACAGTGGAAATAAAATGCTGTGATAAAAAACTCGGTTAAGCTAAATTTAAATTTGGATTTGCCATTTGTTCTGTGATCTGCTCACTAATGATGTGCTAACAGCCAAATCAGTTCCGTTGACTATACAACGAACGAAAAGCAACAGTTTCTTATCCATGCTACATACGAGGTGCGATCGGAAAGTTTCAAGACTGCGCCTATAAAAACCCGTACACTTATCTCAGGTATTAAATTCATCCATCACCCTCGAAGTAGTTCCTCTGGGAGTGAACACAACGATCCCAGCGCCGCTGCCAAGCCTGGAAGCATCCCTGGAAATCTTTCTTTGTCAGCCTGTCAAGCACCATCTGCGATTCTGCCTGAATCTCTTCTATCGTCTCAAATCTCCTTCCCTTTAGCTGAATTTTCAACTTTGGGAAGAGGAAGAAGTCACACGGAGCTTAAAAAGGAAGTTGGGGTCGGTTCTTGCAAGATCTTTAAACTCCTGACAAACGAGAAGTCGATTCTGCTTCTAGTCCTCTGACAGGATGCGTCGCATGTGGAGTTCTTCCTTTAGAATCAGCTGACAGGTCCCATAGCCTATCCCAAAAATGTCGCACAAGTCGTTGATGGTACGACGTCGATCTTCGTAACAGTTTCGGGCGTTGTGCTCGAAGATGGTCGTCCAGAACGCTCATCATCATCGACAGAGGTTCGGCCATTTTTAAAACGTGAATGCCACACAAAAGTTTGTGCACGACCCATTGCGGACTCCCCAAATGCTTGCTTTAGCATTTCATAGGTTTCCGTAGCCGTTTTGGCGAGTCTTTGGCAAAATTTGATGCACACGCCATTCCGAAAGCGCAGGAGGGTCGGTGTAATGCACTACCAAAACGCCCGTAACTAAGAAACAAATGCTAATTCGATGATGCCGGCTGGCACACTAATTCACTATGAAGGTAGGCCGCGCCCCCTAGCGGCAGAAGCTCGTACTACATCCGGTTCGCACTCTATTGACATGAAGCACATTTAATTCCCCTCGGTATGTACGTGTTGATACAAACTACACGCGATTTATAGTCGAAGTAACACTCCTTATTTATACGTCAAGTATTCGTACATAAGCAGTTTTTTGCTAAGCGCAACATCTGACTTATCCCGAAGATCGGACATCGGGACACGAGCGTGGCTCGTTTCGCGTGGTGTAGTGCAAACAATTGCAGTATAATCTTTACATTGTTTTATGTATTTTACTTTATTATACTGCATGACTGCAAACACTGTTAATTAATTCCAAGCCCAGTTGCCTCAACCTCAGAAACTGCAGTCGATGACTAAGGATTAGAGGAAGAATCTCTGTCGACAGTCAACTCCCTCCAGCTCTTTCAACTGATTTTCATGAACCTCAGATTTTGGGCATTAAGATATCTTCAGATTTGCATATAGTTATTTGTACGCACCAAATCTCTTCTCGAGAAACTGATAGTCGGTCACCTGGTTAAAAACATTTCCCACCTTGTATGGAACAAGAAGATTCATTAGCTTGTTCACAAGAACCTACCATTGGACTCTATTTTGAGTCACGTGACTCCAATCCACACCTTCATATCATTTATATAAGATCCATTTAAATATTATCCTCCTATTTATATCTACATTTCCAAATTGATCTCTCCCCTTCAGGTTTACTGACAAAGTTTATATGCTTACCTCTTCTTTTCCTTCCATGCTACTTGTTCTGCCCTTTCCGGCCTTCAAGATTTGATCGCCATAATAATTGGTGAAGAGTGCAAACTATGAAGTTGCTTGTTAAATAATTTTTTTCTCTTCCTGTTACTTCCCCTCATTTACGTCCAGATATTGTCATCACTTCTCTCTCAAACACCTTCAATCTTACTCGCCCAGAGTGAGGCACAAAGTTTCACTCTCATACAGCTCAAATCTTCATGTCATATTCACATGTTTGAGTACCTTCTGTGTTATTATAATGTTATTTCACGTTCAAACATGGAGAGATCACAATCATTTATTTTACCGTTGTGATACAGGACCGTGTGTCCAGAGGCGCAGGCTCCCGTTTGTAATACAGAATGATCGAAAAGTCACATAATCCGTATTAAAATATTTGTTAGTGGTTGCAGTTTAGTTTACAATTGGATTCTATTAATAAACACGCAATATCGCTGTGACTGTACAAGAACCCACCAGGTCACGTCATGTTGTAACCTGCTGATGCCAGTCCGTCAGTTGTCTTTCAACAGTGGAAGTGCAGAAATGTCTTTTTCATAAGTGCAACGAGTGTTCGTTGCCGAACACTAAATGGCATCTAATCCTTACTTGACGTGCCAGAATGAGTTCAGGGATAAATTTCTCGGTTCTACTGTGCCAAACAAATCGACAATATATCTCGTCCGGTGAACCCTTTCGTTGACACTGAACTCTTCCTCGGGTTGCATTAAACATGAGAAAAAGAGTGAACGCAGAGGACAATTTCAGCACTTAGTATAAAATTGTTTGTTTGTTTTCTGATTTCAATGTTATTTTGTTTTTTGGTAAATAGAACATGCGTTGCTGCGTTCCTCTAGGAATGCATCTACCACCTAAACTGGGGAAGAGACTACCTGTTTTTCATCTCAGAAAAAGTAGAAAGTGGGAGATGCTGCATGGATAATGGTGTTCTTTATCAATTACGGAATCAGACAGTGTAGCAGGAAACAACGATAATTATTATTGTCCGGATGTAAAACAAACAAAACACACGGGAAATGAAAACAATTAGTTTCCTTTATTTTGGTTGTGTTACGAAAATTGCATACAATACACCAGTTATTCTAAACGGTAGTTAATGTGTTTTATACTTGTAGTTAGGGTCAATGTTCAGTTTGGTGTAAAAACTGTAACATGATTACATACGTAAACACGGAACCGATCCACGGACCGTATGACCTAAGGAGTAAGGAAGAATGATAACATCTCAGCCACTAGGCCAATTTACACACGGTTGCACGCTTCAAAAATTAGGATTGTTGCAACTGAGAAATGCCAGTAAACATAAATTGTACGTCTGTTTACATGTTTGTCTGACAACACACTGACCTACTCGAGTACGAGTTCCGGTTGTATTGTGTAAGGATTGCCAAAGAAACACATCTCAGACCTGAACGTAGTCACAGCTGATGATATTTTATAGCAAAAC